GGAACGAGAAAGAAGAAGTGTCGGTCGGCCTTGCGAGTCTTCAACAGGCGCCACCAACAGCAACCAGCCACTACGACCCCGCCGCCTCTTCCATGTCGCCGGTGAGTGAGAGGAGAGGAGAGGAGTGAGAGATAGAAACGTGATTTAGGTTTGAAATTAATTTAGGGGAGGGGTGGGTGTATATATATTAATTTTTATAATATTATTATTAATATTTAATTAAATATAATAAAACCTGTATCTATTTATAAAATATCTGATTTGTGATAAATAAAACTTGAGATCTGATTTTTGAATTCAGATCTCCAAAAGTAGGGAATAGAGTAATTTGCACATATTTGAATTTCATATTCTAAAGTTTCAATTAAATTTGGGTACAATAATAAAGATACGAGTGATTTAAAAAAATGTTCCACATTCCCAATCTTCAAAGAGTGATTAGAAGTAAAGTTCTAAAAAACATGAAGCTGACAATATTAACCTCAAGTTTTATGAATTCAGACGACGTGGTACGACGATTTCTTATTTTTTTAGTTGTTCAACATATTAATAAATAAATAAAATAACGTATTGTAAGTTTCTACTATCAAATAAATATTATTGTTTTAATTATTTTTTATCGAGTTCATAAAGCATGTGTTGTGCCTGTTAAGATAAAAAAGTATTTGTCACGATTTATGAGTTTTTGCTTTCTATTTATTAAAATTTTCTATTAAATATGTTTATTTAACCTCAAAAAATTGAAAAAAATAAATAAAAATGCACATGGCTTTTAATGCTTAGAACGCATTAGACTTTCAATCTTATTATCGAGTTTGATTATTTAGATTGGTGACAACACTGATACTAAATAATATTATTTTTCTCCACGTGGGGCATTTTTCATACATATTCTTTTTTCGACTTTTAGAACAATGCTTATAAGTAATCAACTTTTAACAACTTCAATTGTCAAAAGTAGAAACTTTAAATTGAAGAATTTACTTTAATGCTATATTGAAGTAAATGGGGGCAAATTTGTCACTTCCTACGCAGACCGCAGTCTTCCAGGAGGTTCAAACCCTAATCTCGGACCGCAGAACGCAGTCTTGAAGAAAGGTTGAACGCGAACGCAAGCCCGCGTTCAACCTCCGTAATCTCCGATCTCAGCCAGTATTAATTGACCATAAATCTTCCCATTCAACCGGCCCACAAACAGTGATGTCGGCCAAGTGGCGTGCTTTGCAGCACCGCCACCGCTACACTTACAAACGGCAACGTAAAGGAGGTATGAAGTTTCGGGCATTAAATCAAACACCTGATGACAGCTCCTTCTTCGTTGAACTAAACCACCTCATTTCCCTTAACTCCACTTACGCGCAGCTCGAACACGCTAAAAATCTTGCATCAGCTTTTTCGAACTTATTATCAAACCCGAATTCTGATGAAAAGTTAATTTCTTTCGCTGCGAAGTTTTATTTAGAAATACTTTTTCTTGAAAATTCGGTGCCTTTGCATAGGACTTTAGCTTCTGCTCTGGCGAAATGTAAGAATTTTCAGAGTTTGATTGGGGATTGCTATAGGCAGCTGTGCGAGGAGTATGGTGGGGAGAATGGGAAGGGGAAAAGATTCTGTGTCTCACGTGCAGCTTTGTCAATGTTGAGCACGCCAAAGTTGGGATATTTAGTGAAAGCTGTGGAGCAATGTGCGGTTTTGGTGGGTTTGGACGCGGTTTTCGGTTTGAGAAGTGTGGTTTCTGAGACAAATGACTCGTCCAGGCCTTCACCAGTTGTAATGGAACAATGCCAGGAGGCTCTTTCTTGTATATACTACTTGCTTCAGCGCTTCCCTACAAGGTTTTATGACGTGGATAGCGAGCAGAATGATATAAGCTCAAAAAAACAGGGTGTTATTGAAATGATTTTGACTACTATTTTGAGCATTTTGAAATCACAGGCGTTTGCGAGGGACTGTTTAGTGGCGGCTGGGGTGAGTTTCTCCACAGCTCTGCAGGCATGTTTGAGTTCTGAAGAATATGGTTTGATTATCATGGAGGGTATTTTTCATCAAACTTCCATTGTGGATAGTAAAATTGAGCTTGATGATGTGGTTAGGAAAACTCCAATCAAGGGTGATTTGGTTGGTGAAATTAGTAATTTTTCAGCATTGAGTAGACTTTGCCTGATCAGGGGAATACTTACTGCGAGTGCAAGAACCATTCTGGACACCCGCTACATTGTATCAAAGTATAATCTGAATGGTGTTATAGATTCTGCCAACGATGGTAATTCAGTCAAGACAATACTGTATGATGGAATATTGCCTGAGCTCTGTATTTATTGCGAAAATCCTACTGATAGTCATTTTAATTTCCACACATTAACTGTGATGCAAATCTGTTTGCAGCAAATAAAAACATTGCAGCATGGTGATAAACTTGATGTTGCAGAAAATTATGATCCAATTCCAGAGGAGATGGGGGCCCGAATATTGAGGATTGTGTGGAATAACTTGGAAGATCCTTTAAGTCAAACTGTTAAACAAGTTCATCTTATCTTTGATCTCTACTTAGACATTCAGGCTAGCCTTAAGTGGGCGGAGAGTAGTGAAAAAATCAAGTTGTTCTTGAGGAAGATCGCTACTGATCTTCTTCGCCTGGGACCACGCTGCAAGGGAAGATATGTCCCTTTAGCTTCCCTTACCAAGAGGTTGGGAGCAAAGACTATTCTAGATATGAATCCTAACTTGTTGTATGAAACGGCCAAAGCATACGTCGATGATGACGTCTGCTGTGCTGCTACAACATTCCTCAAGTGTTTCCTTGAATGCTTGCGAGATGAATATTGGAGTAGTGATGGTGTTGAAAGTGGTTATACAAAATACAGACGTCATTGCTTGCAGCCATTTTTGTGTGGACTTGCTTCTGGACTTGCAAAGCTACGCACAAACTTGAACACGTATGCCTTGCCAGTGATACTTGAGCTGGATGAGGACAGTATATTTCCAATGCTTTCTTTGATTGGCATCGGTCCAAGGGATGAGGGGTCAAAATTTTCCTATAATGAGCTCGGTTCTATGGATGTGGCTCTAGGACTTGAACAGCAAGTTGCTGTTTTGGTTTCATTGCTCAAGATTTGTCGTGTACTTGCATTGATAGGAGGGGACATTGATTGGCAGGGAAATTCATCAATCTCTCTCGAAGGTATAGTGCTGGATACGGGAAATGGTGATTTACATTGTGTTGTCTGCTTAAAGGGCATAGAGGTTAAAGTCCCGGTCAAGTGGCTCATATTGGCATTGACCCACGAGGACGAGTCACTTCGCATAGATGCAGCAGAATCTCTATTCTTTAATCCAAAGACATCCAGTCTCCCCTCTTCTTTGGAACTCAACCTGATGAGAAGAGCAATGCCACTGAACATGAGATGTTGTTCAACTGCTTTCGTAATGAAATGGACTAGCTTATTCAGAAAGTTCTTTTCTCGTGTCCAGACAGCGTTGGAGAGACAGCTCAAGATGGGAACCTGGCAGCCTCTTGCTTCTGGAGACAATAATGGAGTTTCTTACATGACAGGAGCTGAGAACAGTGTAAAACACAGGGCAGATAATCTATATAATTTTATGAAGTGGTTGAGTTGCTTCTTGCTTTTCTCGTGCTATCCTTCTGCTCCATATGAGAGAAAAATAATGGCTATGGAGCTCATATTGACAATGCTAAGTGTTTGGTCTATATTGCCCACAGTGCCAGAAAGTCCAGATGCTGTTTTGTCTGAAACCAATCTATATCCATACAGTAAAGGGTTTGCTTTACCTGATTCAACCTTGCTTCTCGTTGGATCAATTGTTGATAGTTGGGATCGGCTGAGAGAGAATTCTTTCCGCATTTTACTATATTTTCCTACCCCACTTCCTGGCATGTGTAGTCCAGACTCGGTCAGGGAAGCAATTATATGGGCTAAAAAGCTAGTTTGTAGCCCCCGTGTCCGAGAAAGTGATGCTGGAGCTCTGACATTACGGCTTATCTTCAGGAAGTATGTCCTAGAGCGCAGGTGGATTGTCAGACCCTCATATAATGTAGTCTTCATTCATCCCGAGTCAGAGATGTGCAATGTGGAGTATGAAAATTGTAAATCCAGCTCTCCTGCATTAGTATATGTCACATCATTGATTGATTGGCTGCTTTCTGCTGTGGAGGATGGAGAAAATAATCTTTCAGAAGCGTGTAAGAATAGCTTTGTTCATGGTGTATTACTTACTCTACGGTACACATTTGAGGAAATGGATTGGAATTCCGATGTAGTTTTGCACTGCATTTCTGATATGAAACGTGCATTAGAAAGGCTCCTGGAGCTTGTCACGCGAATTACATCCTTGGCCCTTTGGGTGGTCTCAGCAGACGCGTTGCACTTACCTGACAATATGGAAGAAATTGATGACGATGCATTTCTGTTGGAAATTCCTGATGAGATTGTTCCATCTGCCCCTGCGGATGTTGAGGCACAAAACTCAGACTGCATGCAAAAACTCGGTCCTTCGGAACAGATTGTCATGGTCGGTTGCTGGCTTGCAATGAAAGAGGTATTTTTTACCAGTAAATATTGCGATGCTGTTGCTTACTTAGGGCAAGTCATCTAACAATAACAATGGTGTTGTCATCATCATCATTGTTGTTGATGGTTTCTCTAACTTACGATTCCTAATTGAATGGTTAACATCATGTGGCTGGGAGGATGATAGTGCCATTTATTCACTATGTATATGCTGAGCACATAAGATTTATGAGTCATATTCGCCAAATAAATAATTCTGATGATTTGATTTTGATTTTACCTTCATTTATTTCCAGGTGAGTCTTCTTTTGGGAACAATTATTAGGAAAATTCCGTTGCCTACTTCAGATGAGTCAGGGATCACATTTGGTAATGATACTGATGGTACGACTATGGCAGCTGATGCAATGCTCGATATAAAACAACTTGAGACAATTGGCAACCATTTCTTAGAGGTCCTTCTCAAAATGAAGCATAATGGTGCAATTGACAAGACAAGGGCTGGATTTACAGCACTGTGCAACCGTTTACTTTGTTCAAACGATCCGAGGTTGATTTCTTTGAACTTTTCCCATCAACTGTTGCTAATGGATTTCACTTTTTAATCAGCAAGGAGCTTAATTCAAATGCGTTATATTTATTTGTGTCATTTGATAGGATCACTATTTTTACAATTAAAATATGAGTATTTGACAGCTCATTTTTGAATAATAGTTTAATGTACCATTGTATTTACCCCTTTCCTCCCAACAAAAGGTCAAAAGCATGTATGGGGTTGCTAGTTTGCCCGAACATCCACGGTTATAAAAAAAAAAATTCCTCATCTCTAAATTAATCACTACAAAGTACTCGAAGTTCAGTGCCTTCAAGCTTTGTATCTTTACTAGTCACAGCTAAACATGCGTTGCACATTATTTTGAAATGCTTTATAAACGCTGTAAAAATGATATTTGAAAATCAGTGAATATAAAAAATAGTTAAAAAAACTGTTTATATGAAATGAACTTTTTATACAATTCAATTATTTATTTACGTGTATGATAATAATTAACATTAATTTATATATAT